TAGATTGTGAAAAAATGAAGTGGCAAATCTAATTATAAATAGCTTAAAGCCATTTTGGTCTAGTTCTTAACAGAGTTAACAAGTCTTCTAGTTACAATTTAACTAGTACGACAGGTTGCATCTGGGCATCTATGATAGCCAGATGATACTGGGCTTGCAATTGGAGGGTTAAATTTATATAAAATAAAAATTTTAATGTATTAATTTATTAATATAGTACCAACAAGACTGTTTAAGAATAAAAAAAAAATATTATTGTTTATTAATTTTATTAATGATTTACTATATAATTAAAAAAACTAAGTTTATATTTATTAGCACAAGTTTCTAACAAAAGTGTATATAATTTTTTTTTTTTCAATTATTATATAAATATTAATAATTATTAATTATTTAATTAATCTTTTAAAAATTTTTAAAAAATTTATTTTAGAGTTAGTTGAGAGATTTAAGTTAAAAAAATATATATATATACTCTTGTTAGATACTTGTGTGTAAATTTAATTTAATATTTAAATATATGGCCTATAAAAAATCTGAAATTAATGATTTTTATATATTATTCTAACTGATGTTTGATTTAATAAGTTTAGGCCACACCCTATAATGACATCAATACATTACTATATATATATATATATATTATTTTATTTGCTATTTTAAGATTTCAGCACTTGTATTTCTTCATGAATAAAGAACTATTCAAAGTATATAAACAATCATGATGTATGCATATGAGTATGTACGTATGTACACTTTATGGTCCATGCGTCAATGTATTCACATAGGCTAAACACATATCATATCATTTAATCCTCCATTAATAATTTACTCATTTTAGTACAAATCAAAGAAATTCTAAAATAAAAACAATTGATAAAATTAGATAATATATATATTTTTGAATTTACCAAATATGATTTTATGCAATTATATCATTATATTGAATTTCTGCATACCAATGTGAATAGGATAGAGTTTATGGATTACTCTTTAGTATATATAGTAGTACAAAGAACACTCTAATCTCATCTTTAGTTTATGTATTTTAATTTTTTTTGCTCTGAGTAAATTAAAATGGCTAATGAATATAGTATCATTTTATGGAGATATTCGTCTTTGAGGTAAACTAATACAGATTTTACCCAAAAGTTTAATACATGAGACAATATTGTACATACTGTACAGTACGTACGTATATATATATGTACTTTGAATTTTCACCTACTACTGTATTACAAGAATATTAATAATGATAACTGTAGAGACCTTTGTTTCTTGTAATACCAAGAGCAGTATTGGGCAATTCTTACATATTAGAACATTAAACTCATAGATTCTAATTAGAACTCTATCGCTTTAACTTATATTTGTTGTGCGTCAGATGCATTCTTGCATTGGATTAGATTCAATACACGTTAGGTGTCGATTTCCATATGATGCATATCACCTGTCAAATGGCTATCTGACATGTGTAAGTTCTAATCTAATGCAAGATCTTCAAAATCTAAAAAAAAAAAGAAAATGTAATAATGACTAAGTAATAATGTTATTATGCGTAAGTTTATAAAAAAAAAAACCCTTTGCTTTGATCTTGCCTTCTTTTTCTTGAAACTTGGTGTGATCAATGTTGGCTATACATCTCTCATTGGCTTTTGTATTCAACATTGGCTTTTGCATTCAATGTTGGCTTTTGTATTCAACATTGGCTTTACATCACATTTGGCATTGGTGGTGCCTACTAATTTCTCCACATTCAGTATTGGCTTAATTCTTTGGTGCTACTTATTATTGGCTTTCAGTGCATCTTCATTTTGCAGTACTTTGTCACATCATAATTTTTTTTTTAGCCTTATTATAGCTTTGAACTTGTTCTTATCTCCCTTAAGCATTGCAATTTTTCTTTGGTGCTGCTTTATAATTTTAGTTTTGTTCTTGCCTCATTTAATTGTTTGCTTTTTTTTTTAGTGTGCCTATAACTTGATCTTCTTTAAATATTGGCTTTGTTCTTTGGCGCTGTTATAAGATCAAGTTATAGGCGCATCAAAGAAAAAAGCAAATGTTTAAATGAAGCAAGAACAAAAACAAAATTATAAAGCAGTGCAAAAGAAAAATTGCAATGATTAAGGGTAAGATCAAATTCAGAACTATATTGTTAAGGCTAAAAAAAAAAAATTACGACGTGACAAAGTGCTGCAAAATAAAGACTCACTGAAATCCAAGAATAAGTAACACCAAAGAATTAAGCCAACACTGAATGTGGAGAAATTGCTGAATGCGATATATAGCCAATGCCAAATGTGATGTAAAGCCAATGCCGAATGCGATGTAAAGCCAATGTCAAATACGAAAGCCAACGTCAACTGCAAAAGCCAATATTGACTATAAAAGCCAACAAGAGATGTAAAGCCAATGTTGATCAAGCCAAGTTTCAAGAAAAAAGAAGGCAAGGAAGGCAAAGTCAAAGGAAAAGGTTTTTTTTTATAGCCTTACTTATGATGACATTATTACATATTACATTTTCGTTTAAACTTGCTTTATTTTTTTTTTTTTACTATCATAGATTAGATTTTGAAGATCTTGCGTCAGATTAGAACTTACGCACGTCAGATGGCCAATTGACAGGTGACGTGCGTCGGATCTAATCCGACGCAAGGATGCATCTGACGCACAACATATTCATTGAAAAAATTATGAGTATCTAACCAATCAAGATTCGTAAATTGCAGTACGCTCTTCTTAAAGTTCAAAAGTTGACTAATTAACCTCAAACGATTTTAATCTTAAAAATGATTAAATTTTCCTCTAAATTCCATTCTATCTTACACTTTCGATGTTTATTTAAATTATTAACAGTATACAGTATCTTTCAAAGGATGTGCGAGTCATTTATTCCCTTGACCGTATATTGTACAGTACACTTAAGATCTTAAAAAAAAAGAAACATATAGCAACTCAAAATTTTACAAAGGTAATCTACTTTGGACAATAATATTTTGATAAACTTTATAAGTGAAAGTTGGGACATTGCGGGGATGGAACGTCAGACTTTAAGTATGTACACCATTATCTTAGCGATACATCGCTATCTCGCATAAAATATCAAGTAACTTATGTACAAGCTAAAATGTTCACATAGTGTTTCTATTAGTGTTAATATTTCTATTTGGACTTATATTATGTGATGTATTACAACATGACATAAATTTAATCTTAAAATCCGAATTTACATAAAAGGAATATATCCAGGTCAGGACCTTAGTCCCTGAATTCTAAAATATAAATGGGCGAATACCGTATTTCTCCGAAAATAGCAACTAATGGCCAACACCATACTAATTTTTACCTGCTTTGTAACAATCTTGGCAAAAAGGCTTACTTTCGGAGGAATATACTGTACGATACTTCACTAATTAGTTCAAGTAAAGGACTTTAAGTCTGCAGTGAAATATGAAAAGTTGCTGAAATTAGAACTTATTAATAATTCCTTTTTTGGAAGGTATACAAACTACGATTTGGTGAATTTATATTAAATGAGCGGTGAAATAAAATTAAATTATAAAAATAATAGCCTTTTAGAATTTCATGCATGATTTTAACCATCGTTATTAGCAATCCCAATCAAGGGTGTGAATTGGACATCATGTTTCAATTAAAAATCGACGCCAAAGAAGGTAATTGTAACAAGAAATAACCGGCTAATTCTAGATCTATAAATAACGTAATACAGTCTCATAATAGAGTTCTTCCACGGGATTGTTTTTCCTGTGTCAAGCAGTGCCTGACATAATGACGAGACATGCCAAACTTTAATCATGTATGTCCCTCACTATTCAAAATAAGTTTCTCGACTTTTCTGGCAAGATTTAATGAAAGAGAATATTGGCATGATTACATAATTACTGCCAAATTCAAAATGGTATAATAATTATCAAGAATTGTTATAATTTATTCAGCCGCATTTACGTAATCGTTCCTAGGCGCATCTATTATAACTATTGCTGCAGTGAAACTATGAAGTTTTGCGTTTCTATAATTTTTTTAAAGATTATATACAAATTTGTAGGTTATATTTATCTAGAGTACGTATAAAGTACCGTAAATGGCCGGATACAAGATCCCCCTGAATGGTAGACCTACTATGTATTATACCCAGTTCTACAAAGTTTTGATAAAATGTAAAAAGGCCGGGTATATAAATAGGAAAAACCAAAAAAATAGAATAAACCTTCCAATTATCAGACCCACACCCCTACAAAAGACCCGCGGGTCTAATTATAGGTTTTAAAATTGGTCAAATGTAACAGACCCGGGTCTTGTATCCGGCCATTTACGGTATAAAGTATATATTAGATAGTATATATAAAAGTATAAAAAGGGACTATAATGCCTAAAGTTTAAATACTATAATTTGAGCTTTTTTTTTTTTAAATATATAACAACATATATATAAAGTTGGTCAAACTGTATTTTAATAGTTTATTATACAGTATATGCGTTAAACCTTTAATGTAGTTTAATTCTTTGCAATACTGTTAAATAGAGTTTAAAATTGATTTAATTTTTTATTTATAAAATTTTGTAACATTGTTTTTCAAACTTTATTAAAATGAATTGGCGTAAAAAAAGGTTTGTACGTACTAGTTTCAACTATAAAGTTACGATTGGTTCTCAAATAGGTGAGAATGATACCACGAGAATCTATAATTTTACGTTTTATTCCATGTTGTGTATTAATTAATTTTCAATGGGCATTTGTATATCCATTTTAGGAAATTCAGAGCCGTATTTGTCGTCCGAAATCACTGAATTAGTAAGTACGTATATAATAGCAAAATGTAGTTAAGCTTGGTTAAGCATGAAAGTGGAACTACATTATAATAACTATATATGTATATAACGTCATCAACATTTTACTTATGCCTTGGAGCAAGCAACTTCAGATACAAAAATATACAAAACGGACGAATTCAAGACTAAAAGGTATAAATAGCATCTTATCACATTTTGCTAAGTTTACAAGAAGCGGCAGCACTTGCTGCCCTGAAACCCACTCTCTTAGTGTAATACTTTTGCACAGTCATATAATTCGGGGTTAATGTTAAAAATTAGCACTTCTTGAAATTTTAGTACCTCTAGCATGATTTGTTTTATTTCTTCACGACAATACAAATGACATGTCGAAAGATAGTCTTTGGATTGAAAGCATTTGAGAACAATTTCATAATTTTCATCACTTTTGTTCGGATCATTAAACTGCACGCATATATAGTAATGGTTAAATAGGATCTTAATACATATTCATTGAGAGCATATGTATGCATTTATAGAAAAGAATTTTTTACAAGGCTTCTATAGATTTGGAGCTGAGTGAGTTGGAGAGTAAACAGTTCTTGCATTTATAGAATTATATATTCGAATATATAAATCAACTCTCTTTATAACAAACCTTTTCATAAATAATCCATCCTGTAACAAATGAGATTGGATTAGTATCTTCAATATCATTACTACCTATTATGAAATGTTGAGTTAGAAACCGAAACTTCATTGGGTATACATCAAAATTGGAAACTTCGCCAAATATGAATATCACATGATCGTAAATCTCAATGTTTATTCGCGTGACTAGTGATTTAAGCCGGCTATGGCAGCCGTGGCTAAGCTGGCTTAGCTGGCCGAGCCAGCCAATGTAATATGATCAGCTGGCTAATGCGGCTAAAGATCATATGATTAAGTATATAGTCGGATTCCAGTAAATTCCGAAAAGGAAAATGAAATACAAGCAAGGACGAGTAAGTTTACTGAAATTTTCCGGAAGTAAGGTGTTTGTCAGCTGTTAGCCAGCCGATTAGCCGATATTTTTATCGGCTGGCTTAGCCAGCCGACTAAAACCTTACGGCTTAAATCACTACGCGTGACGTCATCATTAATTATTTTATGACACACAATGTTACACATATACCAATGTACATATATTCGACACGTTTATTCGAGCATAATGATGACGAAGAATTTTTATTTTTATTTTTAGAGTCTATATAACGAATCTGTCTATATCGTTTTGACGAAGAATAAAGGCAAAGTAAATTAAAATATCCGGATCCGGATAACAGAAAATTCGAAAAATAAATTATGAACAAAAAAAAACACAAAAAAAGGATAAATTGGTAATCATTGGGATTAAAAAACGGATAAAATAAGTAAACGCGAATCAACATAATGATTTTTGGAGACAAAGTTGGCTCGATCTAGTAAAAATTATAATAAAAGCATAAAAAAAATAATAAAGGTCTTTTTGACCTAAATAATGAAAAAATATCGTAATAAGCACAAAGATTTTAATTCGATGTGAAAGAATATAGAATAGCATACAGTAATAATTAAAGTCTTTTTTTTAAGAACAAAGAGAAATTTAGTGAGACGAGTCACAACACAATAAATTGATGTCAAGAAATAAGGTAAATATCTGGCGAAATTGTGTCGATACCCTGTAATAAATAATACATGCTTAATACAAAATTTGAACTGTTTTCTTGAATTTAATGATGTATTTATATTCTTACCAAAGATATGATGAAGCATAATAAGACGAGGAAAAAATAACGGTTGTAAGGATTTAAATGATTAAATAATAAATTAAACGTATTCTTCGTATAATGTCAGGGTTGATGTATTTCTCATTATTATGCTACAATAATAATGCACGTTAAGGATAAAAGGTGTTGAATAATGATTAATAATAAATGTTACGCATCATCGGGTAATATCAAGGCGATCGATATCAATTTTGTGATTATTACTGAGCTACAATAAAGAAGAATATACATTATCGAAGTGTGCCAGAAATATGTCAGAATAATTAATCCAATTAAAAGAATTAAGAGAATTAATAGAGATGAAATAACCGTTTTTTATAATGGGTTCTCGGCAACAACGAGGAAGTAATTGTTTGTACCAAGAATTTTTTATCGAAATTTAATGTAATAAAAGTATCGAAGGTAGGTAGGAGTCATTAAAAGAATGTATGGAAAGGACATTAGTAGTTTCCTGGCTTTCAATTTAAAATTCTGAATGTGTTCTTGTGTGGATTATATACGTTTTTTTTTTTTTTTTTTTTTTTTTTTTTTTTGAATAAGGTTTACATCAAAGAATCATTGTTATAGTCACGTGTAGCTATCATTAATATAACCTTATTTGAAAATACGGATTAATTGAATATAATTTATACAAGAACAATGTAAAAGTATTTTATTTATTTTATTTATTTATTATTATTATTATTATTTTTTAAATGTATATCATGCTTGTGATACATTTGCACAGTATTAACTACAATAAGGGTGTGAAATATAAGAATATGCATCTATTTCTTCACCAAAAAAAAGCCTTTTATTACTAAACATACCGATACAGTAGAAGTTGCATGTAGTACGTAAACTCATATTCTGTATAAGCATATATAAAGTTTGCCTTATATAAGCATAACTTCTAAAGTTTTTTTTTTTTTTTTTTTTTTTAATAGCCCGATAACACGACTGTAACAAGTTCTACTATGAAACCAAATATAGCATTATTTTTCAATATATGAAAATTAAAATTGTATTTAATAATAATCGGTGATTTTCTATTAACATCGACTTATTATACTTATTTTTACGAACTAACCTTAAATTTGTTCACAATTGTTCTTAATCATGCTCATGAATTCATTTTTTCATGAGACTTTATTAAGAGAAACGGAAGATGACATTTGTCTATAGAGATGTTTATTTTGCTTATGTTAGCGAGCATCAGATAACTGTTACGCCGAAAACTCCCTTTCTACAGTTACCTGACACTTTCCTGACACTTTCTGTCACTTGCCTATCACTTTGCCTGTCACGCCTGTCACTTTTGCCTGTCACTTTGCACGCATAATTTTGTGATATTCATCACTACCTAAACATCGTGACTATCATACCGACAGACTATATTTGATGGGTTGGAGCTTGTAAAAGAAGTTGCTAGTGAATGTCTAGAGAAATATCTAACGCTTACGAATCTAAATTACTTTGCATAATAATCACTAGGAATGTGTCGATTCCTATTCACCAATTGGCTTTTATAATAATTAAATATCAAGCTGGGCCAAGCTGCGTAATAATTATATAACAATCGCATAATAAAACTCTGTATAACTCCGTATACAATTCGCTGCACCGTTAACTTCGAGACAGCACATTTATTATAAGAGAAATAAAATAAAAAACTTTATAGCATATGTTTACATTATCAGCTAATAAAATGTTTAGTAACTTATAAATGAAAAAATTCTACAAACTTAAAAGCATATCTACAAATAATAAGGAACTTTACAATGTAAATCTATTTCAAGTTTCTCATTAATGGATCTAACTAGCTTTAAATCATACGCATTGTTTAAAAAATTTGGTTTCATGTCTAATGCTTGAATAAAATGAACAGGTTTTTCTTCTCTAACATGCACTAATGGAGGATTTACAATAGATTGGTTATTATTAAAATTAAAATATGAAGAAATTTTTGGTATATTTGTTAAGGACTCTCGTTGAATTTGAGGTTCCATTGGAGGATGAAATGGTTTATTCGTAGATGAAAAGCGTTTGATCGGTTGTTTTGAAGATTCGGGAGAAAATTGAGATGTCAAAGAATCCAAGGTGTCAGATGGAAAAGAATCACCTTGTAGTAAGAGATTTAACTTTCGAGTATTTGAAGAGACTGGATTTTCGGGATACGGTGAATTGTGAGAAATAAGCTGTCTATGAGATGAACGTCTCACATGACTTGCATGATTTGCATGAGTTGAAACTGAGCTTTCTTTTGTTGAAGTTGGTATAGGTTTTCTTATAGTCCGCTTATCTGTCTGATCAGTAAAAGATATAAGAGGAGATTTATTTTTATACTCAGATCTGAGATGATTCGTATTAGATGTAAGGGTAGAAGAAGGATGAATTAAAGAAGAAATATGAGAATTTTTTTCTATATTATCATGTCTAGAAATTTTCATCATGTATTCATAAACTATGTGGGAACATCTTTCCAATACTCTGTAAACTTCTTTTGTTTCTGCAGACGCGAATTTCCATTCTCGACAAATTTGAACAGATAAATCTACTAATCTGTCCTTTATTTGATGATCGTTAAGGTTGTCGGTATATCTTGCGAATGTATCACGCGTGTAAATTTCGAAAGCAGTCGGTGGAAAATATCTATAATTCTTATCTACGTGTGGCGTGATTAATTTATATAGTTTAAGAAAAATCGTATTATTGATCATATCATGCATTGTTGCGGAAATATGCCTGTTAATGACCTGTTGAATAAATAAAAATGTAGAATGAGGAACCGTGGTAGCCAAAGCCGTGTCAGAAATATCATGAGTGTAGTGGTAATCAGAAGAATGACAATTTGACAATAAATAAGACATTTTTCAACCCGTTTAGTCGTTTAGTCGTTTAGAAGAGAACAAAAAAAAAGAAAAAAAAGAAATTTTTGTAGAAAATTCTTTTCTTTCACTTTGCTTGATTTTATCTTGAAAATAACATCACAGACATAATTAACAGTGCATAATGGTTTCTCTAAATGTATCATTATATACACAAATATAATCAACGAAGTCATTCTTGCGTTACAAACCACATGCTGCATTTCGTATTTTTTGCGAATTAACCAAACGATTGATTTTTAATCTCTTATTACATTTTTGTTTTCGCTTCAAAGTTTATAATTTATTACCTTATACATACATGATTACAAATATGTTTTTTATTAAATAACTTGAAATAATAACGTATCAATAGATTCTTTTTGCAGATTTATGTAATCTTTTTCAGTAAAACTGCATACCTAAAAATGGCCAATTTATGTTTTTTTCTTTCACCTGAATTACTAATAATTGGTTATCTTGGAGAGATCCAGACACAAAAGTAATCCTCTTCAACTTATGCATGCGTACTTGAGTCATTTGATCAAATGACCAAATGGATAAGCAAATTTTTTTACTTCACTCTTTCTTTCACCAAGGATATGTTTAAATCCCTTAATGCACGTGATATAACATATTCGTATGCATTGCAAAACAATTGGAAAAAACAAGATCTTTCCTAATAGAGTTAAAGATGCACAAAGAAAAGCAGGGATTACTTACCGTATGTAGGTTAGAAGCATAAATATGAATGTAATTAATATTGCGTACACATTGAACGTAATGACAAATCAAATATATATCTTCAACTAGATAAATGCACTTCTCATAGGTCTAAGCTAACGAGATAATACAGTATTTGTTTTTATTTATACTCTCCGAGTGCAAATCGATTATTATGCTTTGATTAACAAGTCCCTGCGTTCCTTTAACTCGGAATTTAAAAATGGATTGTCGGTTGACAGAAAATGTCACATACTCCACGATATCATCTATTAATTGACATTGCATTACCGAAAATGTTTGTTTGTTTATCTTACCAATATTTATCAGTATCATAATTCACCCTCAGAACAAACTCCTTAATGACGTGTTTATATTATATA